TCATTGTAACTGAAACTTAACTTCTAATAAAAAGTTATAGCCAAAGAGGTCACCTTAATACCGAAAAAAAAAAAAAATTATAGTATTAAATTTAAATAATTTAAATATTAAATTAAGCTTTGGCTAAACTAAAAAAGTTAAAAAAAATAAAAATTTAACTTTAAAATATTCTTGTATTACTAAATAAGCAACATTTTTTAAAGCTACAAAAACTTTTTTATTAATTTAAAATGGTATATACAGCCAATTATAGCTATTACAAATTTAAATCTTTTAACTATTAAAAAAAAAATAGTAATAAAATAATTAATATAATTAAAGATATAAGTTTTTGAACAAAACTTGATAAGTTTTTTTATATATTAAAATTTTAAAATCTAATAAAGTAATACTTGAATATATTTTAATATATTAGGCATGGCTTAGAGAAATTATCAATAAATTATCTGCTGATAGTAAATTTTAAAGCCTTAATATTGAATAAAATTAATAATAAATAAAAAAAATCTATAATTTAATTTTTGTAATTATATGGTTCTTATAATAATAAAAAAAACCTTTGCAATTATATGATTAAAAATCTTAAATTAAAAAAAAATTAATTTAAAAATTACCGAAGATAAATCTACCAGTAATAAAAATTTTATAGTTAAAATTAGACTTTATATTAGAGTTGATTCTAATTAAAAGTTAGAATTAAGGTATTTAAAATGTTAAATATTTTTATTTGTACTTCAAACATTAATCACTAAAGCTCGTTCTTGAGAAATAACATACCTAGAATTTCATCTCCGGAGTCTTAAAATCGTTCTAAACTTTATTAGTTTAATAATTTCGGTAATCTACTTTTTTTTAATATATCAAATCATGAAAAAAATTGTATAATACTTAACTCTAGTTACATAAATAATATAGTAGTAATTCCTTTCTTATCGTCTTTGTTTACATAAAGTATATTGTTTTTTAATCAAATGTTAACTATTGTTTATCATCTTGTCTTTAAATATTTGAAATAAAGAACCTATCAAACTTCAATTTGGATTTAGTTTAAATATAACCGTCTTGAAATCGCACGATAAATAAAATATTATTTCCAAATTAGAAACTGGCTGAACCGATTACCCGGTATCCGTCTAAAAAATCGTTATCCAAAATTTTATCACAAGATGTTAAAAAATAATTAGGCCGATTTGGGGGTCACAAAAAAGTTAGTACTTTCAAGAGCATGAATGTTTTTGATTAATCACATATAAATGTGATGTGTTATATTCAAAAACCTAACAACTCAATAATTTCTTAATAATTTAGCAATGATGAAATCAAGATTCTTTTTATTAAAATACCTTACACTCACCTTGACAATATATTGTTGCAATGCTGACAGAGGGATCTTAAATTCTGAGATTATGGACGGAACTCTGTGTTAACTTAGAACATATAGATTTGAAAACCAAGCCTTATCTAAGATCAAAATTGACCAATAATAAAAGATTAGATGGTTGAATAAATTGAACCAACACAAATTCTAAATCAACATATAATTTCAAAAGTAAACCCAAATGTTCTATTGAAACATTCTCAAAAGTTGGAATATTCGGAGTTTGTATTTTAGTTCTATGATCTCCAAAAAAATTATTAGAACAATTAAGAGAATTGGTTATCACGGGATCGTCGCCTGTTTTTAACAGGTACTAATTAATCTTAACGCATCTGTTAATAAGAGCTGCCTCGTGACTTCATTCATAAGTTTGGCCAATCCAATAGAATAAAATTATCCAATATTGAGTGTTGCCGGCACTTTGTCGTATCGGTATCTCATATTATTGCCATAACATCTCTACAACTATGCCTAATCGCATTTTTCATAAAAAAAAGGTAGCTATGCTTTGTCAAAATATCTGTTACATCAACCATGAAGCTACAAGAATGGCTTGTAAATGGTGGGGCTGAAGGTCTCGATTGGCTACAACTAGAAGACTTCCCCGATACGGGACGCGGAGTTAAAACGCTGCGGCCCCTTAAGTCCAAAGATGTAGTCCTTACAATTCCAGGATCCTTTCTTTGGACAGCAGATGTAGCAACTAGTGACCCTGTCATTGGGACTGTCATACGATCTGTAGAACCACCATTATCAGTAGAGGATATATTAGCGGTGTTTCTTCTTTTCATCAAGTCATGTAAAACAGGTTATGATGGGAGGCGAGCACACGTGGAATTGCTACCAACCAGTTACACAGCTAGTATATTCTTTAGTGATGAAGAGCTCGAAATCTGCTCTGGCTCTTCGCTTTATCACCTGACCCAAAAGTTGAAACAACAAATTAGAGATGATTACATTCAACTCCTCACCAAATTGTTTTCTAAACATCCAGATCTATTCCCTTTAGAAAGTTTTACACAAGATGACGTGAGTTGTTTAGGTTTTTTTTTTTTCTTTTTTGCCTTTTCCTTTTTTTCCTTTTCTTTTTCGCAGACTATATTTATTCAATAACTAAATGACTTAACTACTGTATTCTTTTTACTTGAATCTTCCAGTATGTGTGGGCTCTTTGTACTATTTGGAGTCGTGGCATGGATTTCCAGCTACCTGACAGACAATTTCGATGCATTGCCCCTTTCGCTGACATGCTAAATCATTCTCTTGATGTTGAACTTTGTCATGCTTATGATCCTCAATTGAATAGATTGCAGATACTGGCAGGAAAAGACTATAAAATAGGAGAACAGGTTACACACTGTCTTATGTCTTTTATGTGCTTTAGAAGCATTTCCAATTATATTTCTTAATCTCTATCTCTCATACAAAGGTTTTCATCAACTATGGTTCAGTTCCAAATAATAGACTCTTACGCCTCTACGGCTTCATCCTTCTTGACAATCCTCATGATTCTTATGACCTTGTTCTTACTACAAACTCCCAAGCACCCTTGTATTCTCAAAAAGTGGCCTTACTTGAATCAATCGGTTTACACGTCAACTCCACTTTCTCCCTCAAACTCAAAGATCCGTTACCATTGAATGTGCTTCAATACTTACGAATCCAGAGATTGACATCTTCGGAAATCTCCACAATGCCGGCAAGGCACGGAGCTAAAGATAGAGTTAGTGCTCGCAACGAGGCTGAGATTTTAAAGGCTTTGGACAAAGCATGTAAGGATCTGTTGTCTGGGTTTGGAATCTCTCTTGAGGAACTTGAAGAAAAGACTGATTCTGGTGCATATCAAGAGGGAAGTAACGCATGGGCAGCAGCACATGTTAGTATTAGTGAACAGAAGATTTTAAAGGCAACATTGCAGAAAGTAAAAGAACTGCTTGCTCTAGTTGTTTGTGCGAATTGTGGAAAGGAGAGTAATAAGCGTTGTTCAAGATGTCGGAAGGTGGTTTACTGTGGAGCAGATTGTCAAAAAAGCCACTATAAGGAACACAAGGCTTTTTGCAAAGCCGCTAGCGAGTAATAAATTCGAGCATAGAAAATGAGAATTTTTCCAATCCGATGGCTCGGTGATTTTCATTGATTTGTGATAGGTTAAAATTTATGACCAATAACGACACTTTAAATTATGCCTTATTTTTATCAAATTTTATTGTTAAGAAATATCAGTAATTAAGAAGTTTCAGATATTACGTAATGCAATTTATTATGATTTTTGCCTTCTCTCTCCCTGATATGAGTTTTCTTTTTTTAATATTGATATGACCATAAGATCTTTGAAGTCCTTAAGATATATGTAATATCTATTACCTCCCTTATACAAAAAAATGTATTGTTTATATGTATCATGTATTTGAAGAAAGCCCTTGTTAACCTGTCCACCTTTCATTATGTCTAATAAAATAGATTCAATATTTCGGCAAACGATCTTTAATATGGGTTGGGTCGACATGCTTTTAATAATTATATTCATTACCAATTATTTATTAAGTTTACAACAAAAAATAATGCTTATTCATTTTTGGAAATAAAATAAAATAAATAATAAATACGATACGATAATAACATTTATAGTAAATATTACATTTTGATGATGATGAAAGCATGTTATTTATTATTGCTTCCACAAGAAATCTTCGCTAAATTGTTGTAGGTCCGCGAACTGAACTCCTTGAAATGCTGACCAACTATGCGGTCTCATCGACGATATACCCAAAACGGGGTGCGGGTCAGCTCCAAGGTAAGGACGAACTCGATCCATACTCACCCAGACTTTCGTACCCCTAAACCGATTTTCGACAGTTTCCTTATCCCCTCGTTTACGCGGAAACTTGTCTGGATTTGAAGAACGGCCAGGCCACCATTTGTAAGCAATGACGGCAGGATTGAACTCAACTAGATATCGATCTTCTTCAACTTCAATAATACGGGCCAGAAGATATAATTGCGACTCCTCAAGGCTATGATAACAATAATTATAATCTGGATATACCACAGGTGCTTCAACAAGATCACCAATATGGAGACAACGATAAGGTCTAATGTCCCATGTATTTATTTCTTCTTCCCACGGGCACCAGGTTCTTTTATTACCTTTTTCTAATCCGATTAGCGCATCCTCCGTGAAACCAAGTATATCCTCTGAATCTTCATTTTCGGTATCTTCCGCAGGAATGACGTCTTCTGAAGACCAATTCACATATTCCACATCTTTATCGCAGACTTTGGTAACTTTGACATCATGCCATAACCCATCTACATAAATCTGTATATGTTATGAACACAGCTTGAACATAAGCATGATGCATTCTGTAACAGTTATTCGAATATTGATATCATATTAAGTAAATTGAGCAAATCTCACCTGAATTTTCTCTCCAAGTTTAGGCTTTTGCGTAAACACTGTTGAAGGCCCTAGAAGACTATATTCAAACTCCTGTAAGTCTTTTAAATCTTCGTGTTGATCGGTCTGTATCACAAAATCATCAAAGCCAACTGGCGGTATCGTCATAAATACAATATTATTATCCTCTTCGCCGGCATTTATAGCCGTTACAGCATAAAGTCCACCAGCATAGGCTTTGTGCTCCATGAGCGAAAGGTTACCACTCCATGCATTTGAGCCATCTCTTAATGTGCTACGAATAGATATCGAAACTCCAATACGGAGCCCACCGAGCATTCGTATATCCTTTATGTGTTTTCTCTCAATTTGGCCAGTTTGAAGATAGCGAACGTATACCCATATATTAGGATATTCGGTGAAGTTTTCAATAAGGCTACCTATATTCGACTGACATCCATCTTGTATGAATATTCCAAGTTCATTTAATGAAGGTATTGTAACGATTTGGCAAGCAGACATCCAACCACCATGATTTCCAAGGTTTCCAAGGCTTCCAATGTAAGCAATGAAAAGGGCAGCGAAAAATTTGATATTTCATACAGAACAATTTATTTGAAAGATATTAGACCACTTTGGCTTCCTGCCCTACGCGAAGCATTGGATCCATTGCACAGAGGTTACATTAAACCACACGACTATTTGTCTTTCCTTGGTAAAGAAGTATTGTCCAGCAAGTTAAA